GAAGGAGGTACATGGTCCAGTGGTTTAGATGTTGTTATAGAGAAGAAGGTACATGGTCCAGTGTTGTAGATGTTGTTAAAATAAAGGAGGTACCTAAAAGGTCCAGTTAAGTTATATATTTCTTATCATACAGTATGAACTTTGACTCCATTACGTCCCTGCTGTCTTGTATATCAGTAAAATAATACTAATAATAAAATCATCTTTCTATCTATTAATACTCCATAGTTTCCGAGCACCAATGGCCAGTCTAGAATGCTTGGACGAAAGCACGATGTCCAGCGAAAGCCCAATGACTACTCGACCTCCGAGTCGGCAACCCTCTGTCCACTGGGCCACGGGAATGCGTTATAGGTAGGTGTTGTAACGAAATGTAATTTTGTTTTAATTTTACTGTATATGATATTGTGTTTCGATTGCAGCCTTCATAGTATGTTCTTGTTTTGTGCTTACCATCACCATCAGCACACAAACTGATGTTTCAAATTTTTAGCATTATCTAGGAAATATAAGAGTTTTTGTGTATATGTTTCGAGTAATCAGAAGATATGCTGTTAGTAGGATAAAGATTTTATATGATCAGAATCATATAAACATTTATATGATAATACAGAAATAGTCTGGGTTTCGAAGGTCAGAAATAAAAGACACGAAGACAGTTTAGATTTCAGAATCACAAGAAAAAAACACTTTAGAAAATTAAAGCTCTAACTTGATACTCAGTAAAACTTAAAGACAATCGGAAGATATTGTCAAAAAATCAAGATTTCGAAAAACAAGACCATATATTGTGAGAACGTGAGAAAGTAATCTTTACAAATTTCTCCCAAGTTCAGATGAAAGACAGGTGAACACCAGACTCTGTGAAGAAGCAGGAGTTTGATACCTGTGATATCGAAATACGCCAGGATAGCACCAGATTTTGTGGTTACAATTTAATGTTCTTATTTGTCTTAAACCGTTCACATGTGGTGGCATAAAGCTTGCTATAAATATTCAGATACAGACTTGTATCTTATGATGAGCTCAAGCAGTTCTTGTTGTGTCCAGAAGAATAATTAGATAATAAAGAATGTAAGATGTAATTATTTAATTATACAATAACATATATTATCGAGGTTTGTCATTTTATCACTTTACTAAATACCATTATGAACCTATCGCTAATTTCTAATCTTTGTTTCCCATAGAAACCTTGGAAAGTCTGGTTTGAGAATTTCTTGTATCGGCTTTGGTAAGAAATGATTGTTCTATCATATCTGTGTTTTAATCTTCCTGTTTTTTCCGGTGTGATTTTTTTTTGTTGTAGAATAAAAGCCACATTTTTGAAGTTGTCGAATGATATAACGAGTTACTGAATACTTTGGAGAAGAAAAGTAATTAGAAGCTCGATATTTATAAAATTCATTTTGTTATCCAAGTTTGCTAAACCACTTTGCAAATTTTAAGATATATTTATTGATGTTTTCAGGCACGTGGGTGCATTTTGGAACACAGCTTTCTGAAGAGGTAGGTCTTGTTTTTCAAAGGAATAGAGTGTGTTTATTATCAGGAAATTGTTCAAGCTTTAAGTTCCTTTATAACTCAGATCTGTTTGTGATTTCAACTTTTAACTGGTCAGAGTAATTATATATTTATATTAAAATATTTCCACATTGTCTCAACAGAGGGCAGAGGATATTCTGACTGCTGCTTATGAGAGTGGAATCAACATTTTTGACACAGCCGATGCCTATGGTGGTGGAAAGTAGGTTTTTGGTAAATGCTGATAAAATATTGATTGAGTCACTTGGGTTGTTAAAAGGAATATTTTTCTAGGTTATTTTTTTTTACAGATAGTTTAGTTCTGATTATTCAGATAATGTGTAAAAAAGGACATTTAGGCTTAATGTAGTGTGTTATTGAAGAACTCCTTTTTTATTCATTCTTCTTCACGTTTCCTGTCACGATAAAGATCATGTGAAAGAAATAAGTTTAGGCTTAATGTAATAGTTGTAGTGTGTTCTTGAAAAACTTAATTTTGATTCATTGTTCTCCACGTTTCCTGTCACGTTGACGCCCATGTGTAAAAAGGACATTTAGGCTTAATGTGGTAGTTGTAGCGTGTTCTTGACAAAACGTTTTTATTCATTATTCTTCACGTTTTCTGTAATGTTGTACTTTGATAATAACGAAACCAGGTATTGTATCAACACTTTTTTTTTGTATGCAATAAGAACTGAATTGTTGTACTCATCGCGAGAGAAAAGAGAAAACGCTGGTAACGTTTTGACCAAACGAATGAAGGTTGTTTTCCAATAAACTAATAAAGCTTTCCGCATATTGATGTTTCTTTTATCCGTTTCTTGGTATTTTCAAATTCACCATGATATATTTATCAAAGTCTGTTGAATATGGTTCGAACTATTTCCTGTATATTTTTATCTTCATGATAGGATTGACTTTCTTCAAACAATCTGACGTAGTTATGGCAAGAGTTGGAAAATAACCAATCGTAATTTGGTTTCAGTTTTGTTTTCTTCAATGCGAACTGTTTGAATTTTCTTTTTCAGGGCAGAGATTATGCTTGGAAAGATTCTAAAGAAGAAAGGTTGGAGGTACGTTACGAATGTTGTCACTTTTCTCTGAGGACGAGGATACTTGATTAACTTGTTTACCTCTTTCTGAGAACGAGAATACTTTATTAATTTATTTACCTCTGTATGAGGACGAGAATACTTTATTAATTTATTTACCTCTGTATGAGGACGAGAATACTTTATTAATTTATTTACCTCTGTATGAGGACGAGAATACTCAACACTTTGTCAG